TTCAATGTCCAAGTTTTGGGATTTTTAAATACATATGTATTTCGAAAATTTTTAGATTTTTCGACTTTGTTTTTTTTTATTTTTTATTATTTGATTTTTCAAAATATTGATTGATGTTTTGATCCCTCAATTTTTTAAATTTTCAATTTTTCGAAATTTTTCACTTTTTGTTTCGATGTATCGGATTTTTTAAATTTAAATTTTTCAATTTTGAATTCTACCATTTTTCGATCTTTTGATCTTTTCGATGTTTCGATTTCGTGTTTTTTCAATTTTTCGATTTCCATTTCTCGATTTCTCAGTTTTTCGATTATGCGTCTTTTCGATTATTCGAGTTTCTAATTTTATAAAGTTTTGTTTTTTCAATTTCGATTTCCTTGATTTTTCGATTTAAATTTTTTTTTGTTCCTTCAAATTCACGACATAGAACTCTTCCGAGTTTTCAATTTTAAACTTTTCTATTTTTCAATTTTTCATTTTGCAATTTTTCGTTTCCGTTTATTTTCAATTTTAGTTTTTTGAATTTTTCATGTCTCTAATTTTTCGATTTGGAAATTTTTCAATTTTTTGATTTAAAACTTCTCGAGTTTTCAATTTTTAATTTTAAAAATAAAAAAATCGAAATTGAAAAACGAAACATTATAAAATCCGAACATTGGAAACTCGAAAAATTGTAAGAATAAAAATGAAAAATGAAAATGAAAACCCGAAACGAAAAATTGCAGATCGAAAATCAGAGACGAAGAATTAAAGAATCGACGAATTGAAAAATCAAAGTACGAGTCAAATGAAAAATAAAAATCTAGACCTTGAAAATTTGAAAAACCGAAAAATTGCAAAATAGAAAAACTGCAAATCGAACAACTGAAGAAACGAAAAATTGAAAAATTCGGAAGTGCAGGAATTGAAAATAGAAAAAAAATTTTTGAAATAATTATAAAACAGAAATATTAAAAAATGGAAAAATTGAAAAAATAAACGTAATGAAAAAAGGAAATATTGTGATATCAAAAAGTTCTAAAAAATGTTTTCGATTTTTCGACTTCTCGATTTTTTGATGTTTTGATTTCGCAATTATTAAATTTTTCGATTTCGATTTCTCAGTATTTCAATAATTCGTCTTTTCGATTTTTCAATTTTTCAATTTTTGGCTTTCTAAATTTTTGGATTTTTCAATTTCTCAATTTCTCGAATAATCGATTTTTTAATTTTTCGACTTTTCGTTTTTTCAACTTTCCGATGTCTCGATTCCTCAATTTTTCAAATATGTACTCAAATTTTCAATGTTACTGTTTTGGGATTTTTCAATATATGTATTACTAATTCGAATTTCAAAATTTTGCGACTTTTTAAATCTTACATTTTTCGATTTTTCATTTTTTTGATTTTTCGAATTGTTGGTGTTTTGATTGCTCGATTTTTTAATTTTAAATTTTTCGATTTTTCTTCTTTCGGATTTCTCGATTTCTCAAATTTTCAATGTCCAAGTTTTGGGCTTTTTGAATATGTATTTCGATTTTTAAATTTTTAGATTTTTCGACTTTGTTTTTTTTTTTTAATATTGCGACCTTTTAAACCTTATATTTTTCAGTTTTTTGATTTTTCGATTTGTTGATGTTTTGATTCCTCGATTTTTTGAATTTTCAATTTTTCGAAATTTTAAATTTTAGATTTTTCAATTTATTGTTTCGATTTTTCGCTTTCTCGTTTTTCAAGTTTTCAATTTTTGATTTATCGGATTTTTTAAGTTTAAATTTTTCAATTTTGAATTTCCGATTTCCCGACTCATCCATCTTTTGATGTTTTTGTTGTTTCGATTTCGTGTTTTTTCAATTTTTCGATTTACATTTCTCGATTTCTCAGTTTTACGATTATTCGTTTTTTCGATTATTTGAGTTTTTTTTGTTCCTTCAAATTTATGACAAAACTGCGAATTTTCATTTTTAAACTTTTCGATTTTTCAATTTTTCATTTGCAATTTTTCGTTTCCGTTTATTTTCTTTATTTTTTTAAATATGTATTCGATTTTTTAGTGTTTAGAATTTATATTTTTGTTTTTTCAATTTTGATTTTTTGAATTTTTCATTTCTCCATTTATTCGATTTGGAAAATTTTCATTTTTTTTGTTTCTTCTGTTAAAATTTTGCAATTTTCCGATTTAAAACTTCTCGAGTTTCCAATTTTTAATTTTAAAATTGAAAAAATCGATATTGAAAAAACAAAACTTTATTAAATCCGAACAACGGAAACTCGAAAAATTGTAAGAATAAAGAAAATAAGAAACCGAAACGAAAAATTGTGGATAGAAGAAAATCAGAGACGAAAAATTGAAGAATCGACGAATTGAAAAACCAAAGAACGAAAGTTTGAAGAATTAAACACAAGAAAAACGAAAAATTGCGATATAAAATCGAGAAAATGGAAATTAACAAATGGGGCAAATGAAAAATAAAAATCAAGACCTTGAAAATTTGAAAAACCGAAAAATTCAAAGTTGAGAAAAATAAAAATAAAAATCGTAAAAATTGCAAAATCCAAAAACTGCAAATCAAACAACTGAAGAAACGAAAAATTGAAAAATTCGGAAGTGCAGGAATTGAAAATTGAAAAAATTAAAGTTGCAAAAACAAAAAATTATGAAACCGAAATATTGTGATATCAAAAAATGCTAAAAAAATGTTTCGACTTCTCGATTTTTTGATGTTTCGATTTGGCGATTTCTAAATTTTTCGATTTTGATTTCTCGATTTCTCAGTATTTCAATAATTCATCTATTCGATTTTTCGATTTTGGGATTTATTTATTTAAATTGTTCGATTTTTCAATTTTTCAATTTTTGGTTTTCTAAATTTTTGGATTTTTCGATTTCTCAATTTCTGGATTAATCGATTTTTTAAATTTTCAATTTTTCGAAATTTTAAATTTTAGGTTTTTCACTTTTTTTGTTGCTTCGATTTCCCAATCTTTCGATTTTTGCTTTCTCGTTTTTAGATTTTTCAATTTTCGATTTACCGGATTTTTTAAGTTTAAATTTTTCAATTTTGAATTTTCCCATTTTTCGATCTTTAGCTATTTCGATTTTTCGATTTCTCGATCTTTTGATGTTTTTGATTTTTCGATTTCCATTCCTCGATTTCTCAGGTTTTCGATTATGCGAGTTTTCAGTTTTCTTTTTCCAATTTCGATTTCCTTAATTTTTCGATTTGGATTCTTTTTTGTTCCTTTTTTAAACTTTTCTGTTTTTCAATTTTTCATTTTACAGTTTTTCGTTTCCGTTTATTTTCTTTTAGTGTTTAGAATTTATATTTTTGATTTTTCAATTTTAATTTTTTGAATTTTTCATTTCTCCAATTTCTCGATTTGGAAATTTTTCAATTTTTAATTTTAAAATTGAACAAATCGAAATTGAAAAAACAAAATTTTATAAAATCCTAACATCGGAAACTCGAAAAATTCTAAAAATAAAGAAAATGCAAAACCGAAACGAAAAATTGCAGATAGAAAATCTCAGACGAAAAATTAAAGAATCAACGAACTGAAAAATCAAAGGATGAAAGTTTGAAGAACTAAACAAAAGAAAAATTGCGATATAAAATCAAGAAAATGAAAATTAAAAAATGGGGCAAATGAAAAATAAAAATTGTACCGAAAAATTGCAAAATTGAAAAAATTAAAGTTGCAAAAACAAAAAATTATGAAACCGAAATATTAAAAAATGGAAAAATTGAAAAAATCAAAAGTAATGAAAAAACGAAATATTGTGATATCAAAAAATTCTAAAAAAATGTTTCGATTTTTCGACTTCTCGATTTTTTGATGTTTCGATTTAGCGATTTTTAAATTTTTCGATTTCGATTTCTCATTTCTCAGTATTTCAATAATTAATTCATCTTTTCGATTTTTCGATTTTCCAATTTTTCAACGTTTCAGTTTTGGGGTTTATTTAAATTTTTCGATTTTTCGATTTTTTAATTTTCTGATTTTTCGATTTTTTTTAATTTATCGGTTTCAGTTAAGGTATTTTTAAAGATTTTGATTTTTAGAGTTTTTGACTCTTTACTTACTCGATTTTTCAAAATTCTGCGAGTTGTTTCTCTCGACCTGTTTAACTTCTACTCGTCAATTATTTCGTTTTCGAAAAAAGTCGATTCCAAAGTAAAAATAATAATCTAAAAACAAAGATGTCAAGAAATCGAAAGAAAAAAAAATCGAAATATCCAAACATCAAAAAATCGAAAAAATGAAAATTTTGAAAATCTAAAATTTAAAAACCGAAAAACGAAAAATCGCCTTTCCGGTAAGGAAGCAGATTATAACAGAAACTTCAAACGAGATTTGCTTAGCAAAATTTTGGTTGTATATACCATACCTACGCATAATTTTAATGTGAAATCGGAGATCATTGTTATCATAAAATCAGATGAACGACAGACGAACGGAAACGGGTGACCGATATTTCATATTCCGCAAGCTGTGATACGTCTAGAAAGTAACGCTATTGTCAAGATAAAACGACGTTATTATCACCTTTAATTGGGCATTACTTTTGATCTGATTTTTTTCAATTTTGGGTGAATTTTTCCAAATAATCGACGTTATTGCAAGAATAAAACAAAGTTGCCGAAAACTGTTTTACAAATAAAGGTGAAGAATGGCTGTTGGACACTAAACCCACACACAAAATTTTGCGGCATTGCTACATTGATTGATTACACCTGAACCCCAAAAAAAAATGTCAATGGTTTTTAAAGTGTAAAATTGTAAATAAATGAAACACTACAAATGAGTCATGACATTATCATCACTTGCCACAAAACAGGTACACACCCAACAAACCAGTATAATTAAAGACAATTGTACTAATAAATACAAAAACCAAATGCCTGTAAAGGGTTTTCTTGAAGGCATCAACGCTCATCTGTTGGGGCTATAACCGACTGCGATTTCACTTTATCAGATATACGGTACAATTTAATGGTTAACGCCCATGAATTGCTTACCTGGGATGAAGAAATGTTGACCAATTCCCGCGTTCGCTATTCAAACTTATTTTGTTTATTTATAGGATTCACAGATAAAGTACACATCACAATCTTATCTAATCACTTGGTGTGGTTAACGGCAGACAACCATTTTTACTATTATTATCATTTCTTTTAGTCGCCACACAGATTAAACAGGTTATATTATTGGTGATATCACAACACACCTCCTACATCACAGGATGAATTTTAACTGAATTTGTCTGGTCAACAACATGCGAAGTGCGCACGCGTGGAAAGTAATCCAGGTGCTTGCCCTAGTCGAGATGGAACTTTAAATTATAAATTTTTTGTTATAATAATATTTGTATTTACCTGAATTGTCAGTTCAAATGGTATAAAATCAGTTTCCAGAAACACGGTTAATGTAACCACTTTTATGGTACTAATTTGTTATTTTTTGAAAATACCGCCCGCGCAGCCAACCTAATGAGACAAATTTCTGACTAGAGAAATTTCTTCGGAATGTGACATTAGTGACATTACTGACATTTGACATTCACTAGACCGATTTGACGTTTGTCTCTGTTACTTTTTTTTGTGTTGTCAGATGTATATAAACTAAGTAATAATAAAAATGGAATACTTCAGTTTGCGACACCTTTTTCTATTGTTAGCAATTCATAACAATTGCGTATTCAGCCAAGTAAGTTCGGAAGACGAAAGTGAAACTGGTCGCTACGTTATAGAAGGTCGAATTTTTCCCTTGTCAGACTATCAGACAAGTCAGGCGAACTGGCAAGCCAACACTCGAATTCTTGTCAACGGTGGCGAGTACATCGGTTTCGTAAAAAAAGACGGATCACTGATAGTCCACAATGTCCCATCTGGCTCATACATTGTCGAAGTGCTCAATCCGGAATATACATTTGAACCGGTCCGAGTTGAAATCAACTCAAAAGGGAAATACCGAGCCCGCAAAGTTAACCATATTCAAACGTCCCTGGTCATTCAGGTGCCTTATCCATTAAGGATGAAAGCTTTAGCCAAAACTCGATATTTTCAAGTACGAGAACAGTGGAGAATTACAGACTTCATTTTCAACCCAATGGTATTAATGATGGTTTTGCCATTATTATTGGTCATGTTGTTACCAAAACTAATGAATGATCCTGAAACAAAGAAGGAAATGGAACAGATTCAAAGTTTGACTAAATTTGAACTACCGGAAATGTCTGATATGGTGTCTAACTTTTTAGCGGGAGGATCGTCTCAAAGTGCCAATGCTCAACAGAATAAGAAGAATCAAAAAGCGAAGAAGAGGCAGTAACTTAAAAACTACCTAGTCATTACTAATGTTTAGTTTCAAAGTTCCGTGTCGGTGTATAAAGCTATGTTATTCACTGTTGTTCGTTTTTTTTTTAATTACAATAAACGTTACATAAATTTTACTAAATTTATATTTGAATACAAATAAAGTACAACATAATATATATAAAGAATTAAAATCAAGTAAGTTTCATATTTTTGATTTTTGTGCTGCAGCGTTTAGTGGTACAAGCGTAGCAAGGCAATCCGCAACTTTTGGCCAAATTTCATCAGAAGTGGTTCCATGAAACTCTTGCAGAACGCCTTTATTTTTGTAATAATCTATCACAGGTCTCGTCATGTTGTCATATTGCTCCAGTCGTTTCCTCACAACATCAGGCTTATCATCATCTCTTTGAACTAAATCTTCACCTGTTATGTCATCTTTTCCAGGTATTTTTGGTGCATTAAAGTCAGTATTGTACACTCGTCCACTGGGTAAATGTATCCATCTTCCTTTGACTCTCTCAATGATAACATCAAAAGGCACAACCAAGTTCAAAACAACATCTAGTTGTTGTACATTCCATAAACTACTTGCCTGTATAACGGTCCTTGGAAAACCATCAAGTAGCCATGATTTACCATTAACTCGATTAATTTCTCCTACTATGAATTTTATCATTAAACTATCTGGGACTAATTGGCCTGATTGGAGGTACTTTTCAACTTCCAGTCCTACTTCTGTTTTATTTTGAATGTTCAGCCTTAGCTTGTCGCCACTTGAAATATGTTCCAAATTGAAATTTTTAACAATTCGAGATGAAATTGTTCCTTTTCCAGATGCTGGGGCACCAAGGATTACAGACCTAAACAGTTTTGAAGCCATTATGTATTAAAACCTGGTAATTTAAACTAGACCTTTACACTATGATTCAGCAATCTACATTCATGTTCATTATCTACCAAGCATTACTACTGATAATACATTGACAAATTGTCTTGAATAAAACGATGGTTGTTAGGTACTCCTACTGGTCTAGAGATGTTAGTAATTCACAAATTGTTTGGTTTATAATAAAACAAAAATCTCAAAAGTTAGTTATACATATACAATTATAATTTAAATACCAATGTTACAATATTTAAGTAGTTTAATCTTGTTAGGACATATAACGAATAAACATCACGATATCACAATGAAGGATAAAGGATTAACTTCGATAAGTATTACTGCCACAATTATTGCATGATATTTGGTATTTGGTTTACATTCCCTGCATTATTTTAGCACCACAGTTTTGGCATTACCAGTAGCAACGCAGCAACGTGGCACCATGAGTCAACAATCGGTACGACAGCCACAGGATTCACCACGGACTCACAGGAGGAGCCACAGAACATCAACACAACTCATAATAAAAGTCCTAAAACTATTGTCGAAGAGACACGGTGATATACTTCTATTCACAAGTGTATGTCAAGTTGTCTATCTTGCTAGAAGGAATCTGTGCTAGAAGGACTTGTAAAACGTGACGCTGTTTATTTTATTATTACATGTATTCTTTGATCAAGAAAGTATAAAGTTCTATGGTGGCGGTGTTTTATGAGAGTGACTTTTAGATAATCGGTTTTTCAAATATTTATATGTATGAAACCATTTTGTTCAGCATTCAGAAATGCAGGCTCATATGTACCTATTATTTTGCACAAGTTAAAAGTTTTAAAATGTACCCATTTAGAGTTAACATACTCTTTCAAACGCTACAGATTGATTACTTCATCGAGGCATGTCCTCGCAACGCTAGAGATTACTAACACCATCGAGGTATTTCCTCGCAACGATCAAAAGTTACATCACCGAGACGCGTTTTCCTCGAAACGATGATTGGATATTTTTGTGTTTGTTTATTATGTGTTTTGTTGGGGTAACCAGTTCGCGGTATTTTAAACTCTCAAAGTAAATTGTTTTAAGTAACCAATCACTTGAATTATGACATAATTTGGCATAATGTAAACTCTTTGTTTGAATCGTTGATAAAGTGTGGCAAATATGAATCTCATGTAAATTTTGTTAACTTTGCAATTTTTCACCTCACACAATATTTCTCTAATTTCACAATTTTAACCTCTTGTTTGTATGATTTTCATTGAACGTAAATTTCCATCCTTGCAGTTTTAATCTCACATAATAATTTTATTTACACAAGTTTATTTCACTACATATCTTTTGTTTTCATAAATCTTTGCTAAGTTTAGTTTTGTAAATATTTTGTTGATGAATGTTTCCATCGTATATATTATTCGATGTCCAATTTTAATCTCACATAAGAATTATTTGTTGTTTAAAATTTCACAAGATTGTATGGCGAATTTAAATATTGTTTATTGCTCTTTTGAAACTTTAACACTTGTTCAGTTGTTGTTAAGGGGGAACGCTAGACGAGAGACAAGTTTGAATTCGGCGCCATTTGTTGCCTTAAACGCAACCAGCAATTCTTCTTTAAATCTACCTGACGCGCTGGGATAGACGACTACCGGACGTGGGTCATAAAAACATCCTAAACCGATAATGCAGAATAATGATAATTTATGACAGGCGGCCCACAACATACCTTCAGCACAGAATAATCATTTCTCGTATTCTTTTGACATATTAATTTTAATATTTGAGAAAATTATTATATTAACTATTCAAACACAATTGAGACACTGTAGAGCAAACAAGGCTTATCAAGCCCGTCTATTAGTTTATTCGCCTAAATGTATTATTAATACCGTTTTCAAATTACACCAAAATTGAAAAATCGAAAACTTAATAATTGAAAAACTGAAACATTTTAAATGAAAAAAATCGGTAAACCGAAAAATTGAAAAATCTATAAATCGAGAAATTGAACAATCTAAAAATTAAACAATTTAAAATTCGAAGAATTGGAAAACCAAAAAATCTAAACCGAGAATTTGAAAAATCGAATAATCGAGAAATCAAAACATCAAGGGAAACAAAAAAATTAACGGAAAATCTAGAACTTAAAAATTGAAAAATTAAAATACCTATCGAAAAATGGAAAAACCGAGAAATCGAAACGTCAAAAAATGGAAAATTGAAGAACCGAAACATTGCAAAATCTCAGAACTGAAATAATGAAAAACTGAAAAATGGAAGGAAAATTGAAAAATCGAAAAAGTGAAAAAATTCAAAACTGAAATCTTGAAAAACTGAAAAATGGAAAGAAAATTGAAGAATCGGAAAAGTGAAAAAATCTAAAACTGAAACACTGAAAAATCCAGAAATCGAAAAATTGAAAAATCACAATTGAAGAAAGAATTGAAAAATCAAGAATTAGAGAAATGGGAAAATCAAAAAATTTAGAAACGTCAAAAATTGAAAACTGAAAAATAAAAAAATTTAAAAATCGTAATCAAAAAATCAAAACATTGAAATCCCAGTAAGTTGATAAATAGGAAAATTTAAAAAACAAAAATTTTAAAAATCCAATAATTGAACAACAAAAAATCTAAGTCTGAAAACTCAGAAAATTGAATGATCGAGAACAAAAAATCTAAAATTTAAAAATTCGACAAATTGAAAAATCATGAAACTGAAAAATCGAAAAGTCGAGACAGTGAGAAATCTAAAAACCTAAAACTTTAAAAACTGAAAAATTAAAATATCGAAAAATTTAAAAACCGAGAAAACACAATATCAAAAATTTGAGAAATTGAAGAAACGAAATATTGCAAAATTCCAAAGCTGAAATATTGAAAAACCTAAAAATGGAAGAAAAATTAAAGAATCGAAACAGTGAAAAAATTCCAAACTGAAACATTGAAAAATTGAGAAATAGAGAAATGGGAAAATAAAAAAAATTGGTCTAAAGTGTTTCGACAGTACTTCCCTCACTATCGGAAACGTGACGACTGCATGCCTATTATGTTTTTTTTTCACATTATATTTCAAAGCATTCGGTTTTGTAGTACCTGATTAAATCAATAAAATAAATTTGCGCATTCATTAAATTTTTTGAGTCACCTGTATATCCGAATTCAAAAATATGAATGGAATGATAAATTACAAGAAGAGACTCATCATATTTTGTACATTTTAAAACGGCAAACTTTTGAGCTGACGTCATCAATTTTTTGGAGAAGATAACCAAATATATTTTGACTAAAAATTTATTATGGTCTTTATAACCTTAAAACATTTGCAAGATTTCAAAGCATTGGGTTCTGCAGTTCCTGATTAACTCAATAAAATAAATTTACGCATTCATTAATTTTTGGGGTCATCCTGTAGATGCATATCCAAAAAACATTAATGGAATGATAAATCACAAGAAGAGACTCATCGTATTTTATACAATTTAGATAGGATTTATTCAGCAAAATTTTGGGGTGGCGTCATCCATTTTTTAGGAGGGATGAGCAACTATATTTTGATCAAAAATTTACCATGCTTATGATAAATTTAAAACATTTCCAAGATTTCAAAGCATTCGGTTTTGTAGTTCCTGATTAAATTAATAAAATAAGTTTGCGCATTCATTAAATTTTTTGAGTCACTCTATTTATCCGAATCCAAAAAATATGAATGGAATGATAAATTACAAGAAGAGACTCATCATAATTTATACGTTTTAGATAGGTTTTATTATATTATATAAGTAAGTAATATAAGTAAGTAATATCTATAAGTAAGTAATATAAGTAAATATATTGTGATTAAAACGGTCCTGGTTTAATAACAAAAAAAAATTGTTCGTCTATGAAAGAAGCTCGTCGTAGACAAAGTATTCGTAAAAAAAATATGTCGTAAAAAAATGTACGTATGCTGGTCCCGACTGCGATTATGGCTTAAATATTTTTTAGAAAATCCTGTCATGGATGTAGAAACATTTGTGACGGCCAAAGAGGTTTTTTTGAGAAAATTATCTTTGAATTTAGACCAAATTGAAATAAACACTGGGCAACAGGCAGATTTGGGCAAAAGAAAGAGAGGGTTACGGCTTCAAATTTTGGACATATTTACAAACTTAGACCGACTACAGCAATAGCTAAAACTGTGAAGTCTCTGTTGGTGTGGCTTGTTTGTTTCAAAACAATTTCCTTACTTGGCTGCTAGTCCAGACAGGGTTCTACAGGATAAGAGTGCATTAGTCGAAATTAAATGACCTTCAAAATCGCAAGATTTGTCCCGCGAAGAAGCGGTTAGAAAAAAAAATAATCAAATTTTGTTTGACAGACAGAGAATTGAAACTAAAAAAAAATCATGATTACTACTTTCAAGTCCAGGGACAAATGCTTGTTACGGGTATTTCACAAGTTTATTTTGTTGTATGGACACCCAAAGGAATAAATATAGAAAAAAATTATAAAGACGAAGAAATATGTAAAAAGATGGCAGATAAACTTAGCAGATTTTACTTTGGCGCATTATTGCCCGAAATAATTTTTTTTAAATAAATAAAATTTGTTTCTATTTTTTTTATGTTCTTTAATAATTTATTAGGAGTACATTTTTCATCACCAAGACTTGCATATTTTTATTATAAATATATTTTGAAAATGATCTCTCGGCAAATGAAAACATATACGAGCACTTTTTTCGAGTAAACAATGAAGGCAGAAGTTACTGGGCGTAAGGCTTTTTTAAAACACCTCGTTTCTGGGATAAGTAGTAGATACATATACTTAGCTACTTATACGTGTTAAACAAAAGCTGTATTTTATATATTTTTTATTATTATTATAAATATGTTTATTAGTTTTATTAATTAACAAAGCAAAATATATATTAACAATAATATTATAATGAATTTTTAGTAATCATGTGTATTGAATTCAGGATCCTGAGTGGAGTAAAAATAATTATAGTTCAATAGATTACTACGGCCGGTCCTGGTGGCTTGTTATAAAACTGAGTTCCTTGCCATAAATTAGAAAAATCAGTCGAGAACTCTAACAATCAGATAATGGTAGAGCAGGCGATAGGGGTTTTACCTGGAAAGTCGCTTCCGTAAATTTTAGTGGCGCTCCTATCGGCAAAGTACTGAACTAACTGCTCAAATTCTGTCGAATTGATACCCATTTTTTTCAATAATTGTTAGTTTT